CCAGTCACTTGTAGGTAATAATGAATAGTGATTGGAAAACGCGTTATACCATATATTCGTTGATGAGGATCCTGAGGATACGGACTATGGGTGGATGTATCATGTGCATGTTCCTCGAAGAAAGTAATGCGTTGTAAATGGGGAAGTTTCTCGATGAATTCCCAGAGCTCCTGTCATGCTGCTGTGAATAGCGACCATAATTCGGTCTTGATGGATGTGATAGATTTAATGGACGATGATCCGGCAGAAAATAGGTATTTTGAATAAAATACTTCCCGTCCAGGACAAAGTTGATCCAAGTGGCTATCGGAAATCCCGATCAATTGCGCACTTCGACGTGTTGAATCGAGGATAGAAGTGCTGAGTTCTTGGAGAATGTTTGATGCGAGACCGCAGACAAATGAGTTGAACAAAACAATGAGGGAATGATCGCTCCTTCCTGTAGTCAAATCCTCGAAAGGTGAGTTCACGAAATATGAACTCAAGAGTCGACGCGCGTACGTGCCAGCAGGTACAGAATAGCGCAAGTAACTCCTTTCGAGAGACAAATTTTACCGCAATTTACCTCCAAACGTCCGCTGGGATAAGCAACATAAGAAACTTTCGAAGAACGGGCGATTAATTGGAGGATGTGGAGGAGAGAGAGAGCGCGTGAGAGTAATTAATTAATTAACGTACTTGAGGTGATAGCCGCTTAGGGTACACAGGGTAAGAAATACAATATACATACACAGGAATTCCCTAAAGGAGTCAGCCTACATTTGGACTCTTTACACCGCCTCCATAACCGAAGCAGAGGTTAGTTAAGGATGAAATCACATTAGTTAAGATTACTTATGACAGATAGCTAAAATATAATTAATAGGGTCTTAATGCCGATTGACCCGCATAGCATTCTGGTATAAATAAATTTAACCGCCAAAATAACTATCTGGCAGGGCAGCCATCAGCGCATCCTCACTTCTCCTCAGTAAATTTATTTTTTTGATCCTGATATCGCACATTTCCCCTCAAGTCGTTGAGATACAGTTCCCGGAGATCCAATACCGCCATGTGCTAGGATCAATCACATTCAATAGGAGGCAGCTGAGCCATTGAAATTTCGCCTTATATTTATCAGCAAATTGACAGGATCTGTCTTTGCCTGACAGAAGCTGACAGACCCTGGTAAGCGGTGACCAGCTAATAATACCAGACAGGCACTTGCGAGTGCACAGTACAGTATTACCGTTAGCAGGCAGGTCTAGGCAGGTGCATGTAGCATTTGCACATGACTGCCTGACATGGTCCTCCTGGCGGTGTTTGTATAAGAAAATAGGGGAACTGCAAGTTTTATCTTGCTCCGAGCGTATGATGTCGGGTCTTGATGATTTATATAGCTTCAGCTAAATTCTTCAACATACACCGACTTATAACCTATTAGCTTTGGTCCCCAAGTGCAGTCCAAAGTATTTATAAACTATTGAATTATACACTGGTGCCACAGCAAAACGGCCGGGTGAGGATAAAACGTTTACCAACAGAGGAAATGACGGCGGACTTGCACTTAAGCGTATCACCGATTGTGGACCTAAGTATCCTTCTCTAACAGCATGGTAGGAACGCCAGTGGAGATAATAATGGCTTCAGGGAGTTACCCATTCTTTTATCCACCATCATCTTGTACCTGTTTCTTCGGAAAATTCCAGTACCGATTCTTTCCGGGTATTCCTCCTGCCGCGTTCCAAGAGCTTCGGATAATATCTGTCACTTTACTCATTTCTTCCGGTAGAAAGACATAGCCCGATTGTGGATGATTAATTTGGAATTGCCAAGTGGAAAGGCTTTCGTTCAACTTTGCAGCTGACATGTCATCAAAATAAATGCACATTATGCTTGATAATGGAGGTGGGTACTCTGAGTGTAGACAGAAGGCCAATTCCTGAGAGGGAGACGGTTTAGACCCTCCTTGAACATAAAGTGCCCGCAATGACTGTAACTTGGAGAGTGCAGATAAGATGATTGGGAAGTCTGGCTACAAAAACAGTGAGTTAAACAAATAAAAGTGTGGCGGGGAATGGTGCAGTGTGTACTTCTATAGGCTGACTTGTTTTCAAAACTTCAAAATTCGAAAATCTTTGTATGAAATCTACCAGGTTCTCCGTATCGATGATGTAAGGTCTGTCGATGTTTAGAGCTCTAATGGACTGTAGAGCCTTCAAAGGTATATCATTGAAAACATCGTCCACTTCTTCCAAATTGTAGTCAATTAATAGCATATCTTCGATTGAAACCTGGCGGGAACGAGTCAGAGATGCATTATCGGAAGCTGGTCCCGCAATGGACGTCACAACAGGAAACCTGGCAAGTGTACATAAACTTTATAGCGCTATCATAGCTTTCATAGCTTCCTATAGCGTTTATGCTAGGAATGCTATATAGCGCTATATAGTTTATGTACAACTTGCCAGGTTTCCTGATGTAAATGGGGAACCTTGTCGATGAATTCCCGGAGCTCTTCCCACGCTGTGGTCAACAGCAACCATAATTCGGCCTTGATGAATGAAATGGATTTATGGACGGATGCTCGAATATCCAAGAGGTATTTACAATGAAATACCTCACATCCAGGACGAAATCGATTCATGTGGCTATCAAAAATCCCGACCAATTGCAGACTTCGACGTGCTAGATGGAGGATAAAATTGCTGAATTCTTTCAGAAGCACTTGATGCGAGACCGCAAACAAATGAGTTGAGCAAAACAATTGGAGAATGTTCTCTCCTTCCTGTGGTCGAATCCTTGAAAGCTGAGTTCACGGAATATGAACTCAAGAACCGATGTGCGTACGTGCCAGTAGGTACAGGACAGTGCAAGTAGCTCCGTTCGAGAGACAAAATTTGCCCCAATATATCTCCAAAAATCCGTTGGGATATGCAACATAATGAGGCTCTTGAGGATGGATGACTCGATGGAGGACGTGGAAGAACTTCCTGAAGGAGAAAGCTATATTTGGAATTCCTTACACCGCCTCAGACTATTTATGAAAGCATTGCTTAAAAATCAAATAATCGAGTCTTCATTCCAATTTTCTTGTAGCACTTCTGTATAGATATAAATATGGAAGGTGGCAGAACCGAGCTTCTCCTCGCTAAATTGTTCTTCAAATTCTGCGGGTAAAGAAATAATACGATGAAATCCACTTCTTCCTGTACAGGATCTCAGGCCCCTGACACTAAGGAGATTGAACCATCAGTAATCTGCAGTATATATTCTCCCTTCAAGGATGGATTTACCTGGATATGGAACCGCTGGTAGACGCTTAGCTGTATATTCAGCCTCACAAAAAATATGGCACAGAACTTTAAAGATCCCAACAATGGTGGGGGATTCAATTCGTAAAGGCGAGAGCGAAATTTCATCGGTCCCAGAGAACGAAGGATGGTATCAAGGCGGGAGATCACCTCCTCCGTAGTGGGTCTTTCGGATGGATTTTATCTAGTCATGTCATTCACGAGACCATACATGAAAGGTAAATTAATATAAGCCTATTTAATCGTGACTCACCTTTATGAAATCCTTTCTAACCCAATGCCCAATGTAATATACATCTGTAGGGAACCGATTGCATGGCATTGTGGACCCCTTGCCTTAGAATTCTGGAGCTAAGTAGCCGACACCTATGATCGGTTTCTCCAAGGATGACTTCTCCGCGGGATCGAAACGGCGCGATACTCCAAAATTAATAAGAAAATATTTAGGGAGATGGAGGGTTCGGCTGTAGTACTGTGCACGCTGTTTATCATCTTCAGGCCGGGGCAGGAAATTCACAGGATGAAATCCGTCGGGAAACATATTCGAAGGATCCATCATAATATTAACACCAGTGCAATCTCTGAAAAAGAACTAAGATAAAAGGGATAGCCTAAATACTTGAGGTACACGAACCTGTGTTCCATGTGATGTTTATGCATAAAATAAAGGCCCTATGTAAAATATATAAGGTTAAAACAGTTCTATTCAGGCTGCTTTCAAGGTGGGCGAACACTAACCTGAAATATCTGTGTCACTGCAGCCATGGCCTCACCAGCGGGAATAAAAGGCGGAGAATGAAATAAACGGAGGAGTGGCATAACAACCAGTTTAAAGTCCTTATAGTTTGGGACACAGTGATTTTCCGGATCAGATGCCAGCTCGGTATCTTTGACCCACTTACGCTTCGGAGAAAAATAGCATCTTCGCATTCTAATACATTCTCCTTTGTCCCAATTCATGCAGGAACCCACCTGGGATTATATCTGGCACGTAGTCGATATCCGCAAGACTCCAACCATTCTTGGTGCTGACACTAGAAATGTTCATTGGCGTTATCTCAGCAAAAGAAGTGTTCTCATCGTCATTTTTCAATAGTTCCGAGATTTTATTCCAATGTTCTTGTTCAGTTTTCATGTTTATCCAATGCCTGTTCCGGTGTGGAATTGAGGAAATTTTTGAGGAAAATGGGTGGTGGTGTAGAAGTTGAGGTAATGGGAGAAAGGGAGAACTTCCCGTGGGAATACCTCTTGGACTGGTGACATGTTGTTTTCCCGATTAAGTATCTTGTTATGGCGGACAAAGCTGCTTCGACCGTTGTAACCTACGTCATAAACATATACATAACTCCTTTGGTCTATTTCATCGCATCGGAATTTAATATTAATAAATCGAAGCCAGAAGATTGAAAGAGAAAAGACTTTCAGTATACTGTCGCAGCCCGGTAATTAATAAGCGGGGCGTACGAACGAGGCATTCGAACTCTTCCAACACCTTTGGGGAATGAAAACCACTAAATGAGGTGAGAATACTGATATCCGTCGCTTCTCTCCCAAGGAAATACACCACCTGCAAGCAGTATCGCTGAGCTCTTCGTTCCGGCAGTCATATACAGTGTGTACATGGAATATAGTGTCATTTGACAGCTTTCGAAAATGAAGGCTGTGAAGGCTGCCAACTGTGATATCGCTATTCTGCAGTTAGCGTAAGCAATAATGGAGTAGTGGTAACCTTGGTTGTTGCCATCGAACAGTCACGAGTTCGATTCTTGATTAATGCATTTTGTTATTTTTGATTGATATCAGGCCTCAGACTTTCTAATTTCCGGTTTTAATTTAGTCGATGAACCCTGCGGCAGGCCTGTAGAAACATAGGCGACACTGATTTGGAGGGGACGTCCCGGTGCAAAATACGATTGCCCTGCACCTCCTATAAAGGGTCTAGGAATTGAATTGATGGAAAACCAGTAGGGCGTCTTTAATCTTCAGCGTCCCTGACACCGCTACAATCTATCAAATAAAAATGAATGTTTGCCAATAATAGAAACGCATCTCACAGAAATCAAATATTGCCATAATGTCCCGTTACTATATTTTCTTTATGCTATCTATCAAACGGCTAAGTAAATCATTGTAGAAAAAGATGGACTTAAACGCACAAACCATCGGTTGTCAATTCTGAATAATACTCCCGCGCTGTAGCACAGCCAAAGCGTTTGATCTCCTATGTCCATTCTACACACCGGCTCTGAGGAACTCCGTTCCTGTATACTTATGCGGAGCCACATAAAATAATAGATATAACCCTGAACCAAACCGAACACAGGAGTCGAATTGAAGACTTGCATTAATCGGGGAATCTGAGGCAATGGTTTGGAAGAGTCGTTGAATAGAAGAACCCGCTGTGAGGATTATAGATGTGATATACGGAAATCGCAGTATGATTGATTAGAATGACAATGACAGCGGCCGCGACATAAGAGAGCGCTATTAAAGGAGTATAAGCATCTTGACGGAATACTATATAATGACTCACACCTAGCAAGGGTCAGATACGAGGGATCGATGCAACACTAGATCTTGAGGTTACCAACTTAACAATGAATGACCTTCAACCACGTTCAGGAGTCTGTCCCCGTTTATCCCTTCCGTCACGTTGACGGTCATGAAGAACAGGGCGCCAATGCAGCTCGAGATTCGGAGCATGAGTCGAATCATCCGTTGATTTGCCGTAACAGGTTTGCCAACCATCAACGTCCGCAAAGAAGGCTTACATCAGGAAAAAGTGATTTTGCTGGATAGAAACCCGATCGCTATGGCCTTGCCTGATAGCCCTGATTGCCTACATAGCATTGAGACAACATATCAGTTCCTCTATATCCCACATAGCACTTACTGCGTGCCTCATAGTTCCATCAAGAGGCATACCTCGGGCTTCCTAGCATATATATTTCAGTGATGTCTAGGTAATACAAAACCAAATCATCTATATCATTCAGCTGTCTTAAAGTCTCTATCTCCATCTGCAAAAAGAGTACCCCGGTCACGTGAGCTATGACGCACCAGGTGGGGACCGTTCTTCAAAATTTGGAGGACGGTAGGTGGTGCGTCATTTGTGGGTCCCCGTGGGTTCTTCGCAGTGCACTTGTCTCGACATTAAAGTCCGAATCCATGGTCAATACATAATTATTATTTCAGTACAGCAAACACACAAAGATAGAATATTTATTTTATACACTAATTAAGAAGCTCGACTTATTGATTTCTCTTTCTGGAGTTGATTGCCTGGCCGGGCCTCACGTGATGTCACAATTCGTGACCAGGTGTCGTGTTGACACTTGCTCGTTGCACCATCGCAACCTCTCGCAACCTCTCCAAGTCGTCCACTGAGCACATCAGACACCCATGGAAGTAGCTTTTGTGTCTCAGTGTCTTTAGCATCCTATCCTTATCCTCTTCCTCTAATCCCAAGTTCTCGTCGCAGTTCATCCTAGCTCAGCCACATCAATGCCAAGTCTAATCGTTGAAGAACAGGTATGTGTACAGGTCTAAGTAGTTACTGATGTAAAAGTGTGTTGCTAAATCCAATGAATCCTCACTCTCCCAGGCTCTCTCAGCCCGCTTCCCAAACTTCGGTATCAAGAAACAACTTCGGTGAATGGACTCGACGTGGATGATCTCGGTCTGTGTAGTTTCTTTCACAACATACATCTCGGTCCCTGCGGCAGGTGCGGCACGCAAATCAGAGTACCACTCTACATATGCCAGAAGATGCGGATGGTTGAAGTGTGGTGGAAGCCGGAAGAAAGTACGGACACGTGCTGCACGATAGCCTGATAATATGTGAGTATGTCTATCAATAGAGCTCAAATGCACTTACCCATGGCCCCGGTATCCTTCACAGCCGCTGAGTAATGTACCAGAACAGTATCAAACTTAGCATGCTTTCAACCATGACCAGGGATGAAGGGTGTGGCTCAGATGATGTCTGTTATCATGGTATTGTCAATCTGTTGGATAGAAGGAAGCATTAATGTAAAATGCTTGAACAGATCAACACGCAATGTTTGTTTATGTGGAATGTCTTCCTTGGGATCTTGGCCGCAAGGAATCAAGTCAATGCTGGTATGAATTCGGTGGTATGGAAGTTGACAATAACCATTGAAAGAGGTGTACTTGGATATGGAGCTTTCTTAACAGCCTTGTAAGTCGTTCCTATCTCCTGCGCTATCACTGTTTCTAATGCATTGTCTTCCTGGACTTGATCCGCCAATAAGGTGCCTTCCAATTCTTCTGCTTGCTTTCGTGGCAGGTGCTTTCGCAGATATAATCTGAAGTATGTAGCTTTTCCTGTTGTGTCAACCATGGAGTCATTTGCATGATATAGTCTTTGCGATTACTAGCACGGTATTCCAACTTCGCAAAGTCGATATCCAGCCATTCCGACCAACCAGTGAGGAGTCGGCCAGTGAGGAGTCTGCCAGCGAGGAGTTGTCTAGTGTGGACTCGGATTCTGATAATGGAGGGCTGCTACTATGAATGAGGATAGTGAATTGGAGGACAATGATACAGAAGAATAAGAATAAGCATAGTCTTTTTTATGAACTACAGAACAACTATAGAAATAGAATTATTCATTCTCGAAATAATTCACTGGACGCCGCACCTGTCATTATTATTACCCATTCCCACTTTTAAGTATCCTGCTCAAATATGCAGACTATCTAGCACTATAATGCTTGTTGAAAGTGGCCCTAGATTGCGCTATCAGGCTGCTATATAGTCCAAGGTCAAAGCTATGAAGCAATGTGTACCGAGAAAAATCTGCTATAATGCTGTTGATAATCGGGGACTTGTCTAGGAAACTATGGCTGCTATCCAATCTATATATCGCTGTATAGTCAAATTTTTTTTTCCTGATGTATACCGTCTCGTTCACATTGCGATTATGAAGGAAGAAATCCCTTGCTAAGCAGACGTGCGCGGGACGCCGTCTGTATTAACAGCAATAGAAATTGCAGACTGCATAGCATGCTGAAACCAATGTGTAGCTTTGGCCGTTGAAACTGGGAGAATGGCCTTGCTTCCGCTAAGGGTGCCCGATGTGGTATGATGTAAGACGATTCTCCACGCCACAGTTCCACAAGGAATATGGAACAGCTAGGATGGGTATCTGGTATGGAGTATAGACCGGAACGAAACTGATAGCTGCATAGTAAATAACTGTGACCAGTTGGTAGAGATTGACGATAGCATCAAAGGGACTACGTGTTGAGCAAATCAACGAATCGGTATTCAGTGGCAAAAGATGCATACACTGGCACGGATCACCATCCAGATAGTAATTCGAGTCCAGTTGGAGAAGATCATGCAAGATCATATGCTGTCTCGTTGACATTAAGCGCCCGTACAGTATGCGTAAGGCCAGCGTTAGCCTTCTTGAGCCCTCCCGCTTTCCTGCACTCTGCACTGCATAACGAAGTCGGGATAGAGTTATGACAAGATACGAGAATGTACTGACACTATAAAACGCACTTATTGATGGCCCGGCGGCGAAAGGTGCGGTAGCGTCAAGTACAACAGCTGTCTACTAGGCTCGGATGAGCCCCATACAATGGCAACCACCAAATCATTGTGAAGTGTATGAGGAAGACGTTCCAAGCCTCGATGAACGCGAATTGTGTAGCTCTTCACAGAGCTATCATTGACAAGCAGTCAGAGTGTCCTGGGGATCATTGCTACGTTTGGTCTTGAAGGGACGAATGAACTTCCAGCTTCAACTTTGGATCCATAATAATGCCACAGGATGACGATAATGGCATGCTGATTCTTATCCGGGTGACGTTAAGTCTTTGGAGATAACGATGGGTGTTTCACACTAGGCAATCAAGGGTATTAGATCAAGATACTAATGCCCATGATGAAGAGACCGCTAACCAGCGGGAATCGCGATCATCCAGGGATAATGAGGCGATAAGCTGTTCTGTGCAGCCGAAGCTGATATCCAGTCCCTAGACGCGAGACTCGGCAAATGTCATCATATGAATAAACGGAGAGGAAAATTCGTAGCGGTATCGGCCATTAAGCATCATACAAATGGCTGGAATGCAACTCTACAAATAGATTGAGACATCTTGTTACAACGTCATGCAACCAATTGGACACGTATCGTTCAACCTGACAACCATCGGTCTTTCAGCTTCCTGATCTTCGAACGATGGAGAGCAGGAAGGTGTATTGGATTACAGAAGGTTGGCAGATAAAGTTAAATCTACTGCGTTTGAGGTGCAAGTGTGCTGATAGCAAGTATCCAATGAACAGGGAGACTCGCCGCCTACAAACACCTGCAGTCACCATTGTCCAATAAATGAGGAAGTATCGCTTTGATACTGTAGCAAAACCGCCTGGAGTAAGTCTGGGGTTCCGTAATAGTTGCCTGCTTTAATAAATCGGTTGGAGGAGGAGGAAAAGTCGGCATGGGTTCCAGTACGGAACGCCAGGTTGCTGCCAGTGTAATACTTACGTAAGCAGGGCTCGTCACACGTCTGCCTCAAGCCTACACTCACAGATAATACAGCTCATTGTCACAGACCGACCGACCGACAGAACGACCAAATTTAACAGGTGGCCAGATTTGTTTGTCAGGTAATAGAAATGACATAAGCCCTCTTGCCACGCCTCACGCCTTCCAAATTGGGCTCTCGACCAAATCTGCACCTTGTTAATGTGTTCCATTGCATAATTCCTTCTTCATATTCTTCTGTTTGGTAGTTTTCATGCC